GAACACGGAACTACCTAATGGGGCACTGTTTCGGGCTCTGTTTCTGTAACTGGGGTGACTGGGCTACCTGATTGGCTAAGTGTCCCTCCGCCTGACTGCACTCTCCGGCTTCTGTAACCTGGCTGGTTTGCATTGGCTGGACCCACAGATGTTCCTTTTGTGGTTTTCAGGCTCGTAAGGAGCGCCCTTGCCATTGTTCGGGGCTGATCAGGGGAAAGATTTATGTTCTGGTCAGTCACCACCGGTGTGCTTCAATAAAGGCTTGACTCGTTATATGTGAGTGGTCTGGAAGTCCGTTTATGAAACTCCGGGACGAAGCTTTAACTACCACACAGGGAAGAGCGTCCAGGGCCCTGTGAAACCTGCCCTGCATCCTCAGGCCTTGGCCTCAGCACAGCCCCAGTGGCTGCTGGTTGATTGGCAACCCTGCTTGGCTCTGCTGGCTCCCGGGGGGTATTCCTCAGTATTTCAATCACCTGCATCTCATCTGGGCCCAAGGGAGCCCCAGTTTCCCCAGAATCTACAAGCCACATCACTGGGGGTGACCAGGGCTCCTCCATGCAGGAGAGAGACCCCCATTAATCCCTGGGACCAGGCACCAGCAGGACACCTCCCTAAGGAGGGGCTTGATCCACAGAGCAAGGGCCCAGCAGCCCCGCGCGCAGGCTTTGCTTTGGGGTTTTCCAGTGGCTCAACTCACCTTGAATCCCGGGGACCAGCAGCCACACCCAGAGGAGGCAAGGGAGAGCCATGGCCCTGCGGTGGAGGGAAGTGGCAGAGTGAGACCAGGGCTGTTTCTTCCACCACCTTCTTCCAACCTGGGGGCCCAGGGTGGCAGGCAGCCCTCTCCTGAAAGCCCTATGGCAGGTGTGATGCACCCTGAGCGGGGCGCTCACCTGGTCTGCAGGCCGGGCCTTGACGGGTGAGTGAGGCTGTGTTGGAGGAAGAGGGTGGCCTGGGGTGTCTGCGGGCAGTGGAGGTGAGGTGGAGGGTGTGGGGACCCGGGTAGGGCGGGGGCTTATCTACAGGCAGCAGACCCCTGTGGGGTGTGCCAGAGGTTGGCGGCAAAGGTGGAGAGTGGGAGGGAGAGGACCGAGTGGGGACAGGGAACTGATTAGGAGGAGGCCGCAGGACCAGGCCCAGAGTGACAGAGACTGATGGCCGAGAGAGGTGTGGGGACTGGGGACGTGGAGAGCAGGGCTCCGGCGGAGGCCCAGCTCACGAGCAGCCAGGTGGGAGTGGGGTCATGACTGAGACTCAAGGTGCTGAGGCTCAGAGACTGGGGCCATCGAGGCCAAGGGCCAGGCTGGGCATGGGAGGTCTCAGGCCTTCAGCTTTTGGGCTAGAGCTCTGTGCTGCATGTAATTCTCCTTTTATTTTATTTATTTTAGGTATTGGGCATTTAATTCTGGTGCACTTCACCACTGAGCTACATCCCCAGCAATTCTTAAAATTTTTCAGATTTTGAGACGGGTCTCACTGAGTTGTGGAGGACGTCACTATGTTGCTGAGGCTGGCCTCTAGAGCAGCCGGGATCACAGGCAAGCACCACTACGCCTGGCCGCTGTACTTGATGCACAGGTAGGAACAGAGCCAGGTGACAGCCCTGTGCCACCCAGTCTACTCTCCACAGTCCCTCCAGCAAGGTGCTGGCTCTGGGCCGGGAACCTTGAGGCTGGGCCTGGTTCTCGGCTGCTGAGAGTGGGGGCCTGGTGGGTGGCAGTAGTGACATCCCCAGGAGGTGCACCCCTCTATACTGGAACCTGCATGAACAAGCTGGGGGGCCCCAGGCCCACTGGCAAGTGAGGAGTTTGCCCTCTGCAGGGTGTGCCCCCACCAACACCACTCCACCCCCTCCCAGGACGCTGGAAGTGCCTGCACAATCCCTCCCCGTCCCCTGTACAGTCGGATGAGCCAAAGCCTGGCGAGCTCGGCTGGCTCCAGGTCACATGGCTGGCAAGCCTCAGGCAGGGTCTGTGGTGCCCCTCTCTTCCACAGGGGCCTCTGTAGGGCCTGAAGGATGGGGCACCCACCTCCCTGACCTGGCACCACCCCAGTCTTAGCACTGTGCTCTGGAAACCTCTATCCCAAGTGCAAGGAGGTGGGCTGGTCTCCCTCTTTACTTGTTCACATGGGACAAGAATTGGGGGCCTTGGGAACAGAGATGCATGCACCCAGAGATGGTGTATGGCATGTGAACGTGGCTGACTCTGGGTGGCAGCGCTGTGTTTGCCTGGAGAATTGGGACAAGGCCGCCTGTGCTGGCTCATATGGTCTTTTGGTCCTTCATACAAATGAAGGAAAGTCACCCTTCTTTCAGGAAGGTGCAGAATGCACAGAGGCTGAGGGCCGAATTCTTGCCCTCGCAGCAGGTGTCCTTGTTCAGGGAACAACCTACCCAACTGTACAAAGAGGCCCTGCAGGTCTGGGAGCAGGAAAGATGGGTCCTGGGCTTGGGAGCACCAGTCCCCCAGCTCCAGGCCCAGATGCCAGTGGGAAGCTTCACCATCTCTTGATGGCTCAGTGTAGAGAGAGGAAAGCCCTGGCCTGAGAGCAAGAGCGGGAGCTTACCTGTTGAGGCAGCGACTGAAGGCTGTGCTGTTCCCCTTCCTGCAGTTGCTGAGCCTTCTGCAAATGGGTCCTTGGCCCCCAATCCTCCTAGGGCAGAGCAGACCAGACTGGTCCCAGGAAATGCTTCAGAAAACCAAGTCTGGTTTCGATTTCCAGAAACCACCTGACCAAGGTCTGCTCTGGGATTGGCTGCTGAAAACCCCTCACAGTGCCCTTCATCCCCCTCTGCCTAGTGGGGTGGCAACAGCACCACGCACTGTCTGACCTGATAAGGCCAGCAGCCCAGTGGAAGTGGAAACACTCTTGAGGGGGTGGGAAGTGTTGGGGGGCGGGCAGGGGGAGGCAGGGCTGCTGGGTGGAGCAACAGGGGCTCTGGGCCAGAGGGCTTGTAGCTGTGTCTGGCAAGCTACCAGCTTGTCTGGGCCTGGCACTCATTGGCTAGGCAGCCTGTGTGGTGGTGATTGTGCACAAATCCATTGCTTGAGCTTTTGGCATGCTGCCCACAGCGGGCCACACCCTGGGAGGCTCCATGCACTGACCCTGGCCAGGGGCAGGGAGGTCCTGAGACCCGGGAGACAGTGTGCTTTGAGGTGAAGCCAGTGAGTGGATGAGCCCGACCCTCACACAGCAACTGACCCCACAGCCTGTGCTCTGCACCACCCGACTGCATCCACCACCTCCTACATCCCTGGGGGCAGGGCAGTCTCTGGAGCACAATGGCCCTGCTGGGCTCACACCCCTTCCCCTTCCTCCCATGGAAAGCCCCGGTACCTTGACTTCCTCATGTGATTCCAGAGGGCTCCAGGCTCCCCAGTCTGAGCTGGGCCTGGCTGGCGAGAGCCCGCAGGCCCTCAGCCACATGGATGGCTTCGGGAGGGGCCCAGGAGCCCGGCTGTCCCAGCAGGAGCTGGCTCTGGGCTTAGGGAGAATTGTCTGGGCTGAGATGCCGAAGAGTGCAGCTACAGCCTGGCTGGCCCAAGTCAGGGCCAGGCCTGGCCTCTGGGCCAGCAGGCCCTCTGCTATGACACCACTGGCATGCTGAGGTCCTAGAGCGGGGTGTACTCCTGAATGTGCCCAGGGCTCTCCCATCAGGCTGGAGGAGAATCACCCAGAACAAATTTCCAGTGCACTGTCACCCCGCTAAGGTGGGGACAGGCATGGGCACTTTAAAAGCCCCCAGTGGCTCCACTGAGTGGCCAGCTCTGCTTCCCTGAAGGCTGAGAGCCCAGCTTGCAAGTGCAGGTGTCGGGGAGTCGTGACCACACGTCCCGGCCATCCAGGTCCCAGAGGAGCTGTGAAGACCCAGGGAGACTGCAGACGAGGCAACTTACAGCCTCCTCAGGTCGAGGCCCCCAGGGCTGGTCCACACAGACCCTGGCAGCTGTCCCTCATCCTCCCGGGTGTGGCAGCGGGGACAGCAGCCCAGCTCCCGCCTGTGGCTCCTAGAGTTGCTCCTTAAAGAGCCAGCCAAGACCGACTGCTCCCTCCTCCTGGGTTGGCAGCTCCTCATCCTAGCCGCTTCTCCTCCGTCCCTGCCCAGGCCCTTGGTGCTCAGTCACCGACACTCTGGATTTTGTCTTGCGTGACCCTGCTTTCTGGGTCCTTCTTGAGGTCCCCTTCCGGGGGGGGGTCCTTATGTCCTTTCGAGGTCTCCCTCCCTGGCTGTACAAGTTCCCTGCCTGATTAGGATGATCTTGGGAGGTTGCAGCACAGGGACTCTCTGCAAAGGGGTGATGGGGGGAAGGGGCCACGCAGTATCTGTGGCTGTACAGTGGCACTGTCAGCACCTCAGGCTGCCAGGATGGGTGGTCACTGGGCCTAAACAGGACTAGGCAAAGCCCTGGGGAGTCAGACTCCTCCTAGTCACTCACAAGATCTCCTGGGAAGGAGGGACAGGGCTGAAGGGACATGGGGATGACGGACAAGCTTGCTGCCACCACCAGGTCCCCTCTCTCTCTGGCTGCCCCTGCGTCTTGTTCTTCCCTCCTGTTCTGAGGTGCCGCGGTCTTTGCATGAGGATTCTGTGATCCTTGGGAGGGCCCAGACCTCTCACCTGAGCACCACCTCCTCACCCGGGCTCCGAGGCGTGCCCACCGGGATGTGCAACAACATGGGTACCTGCATGTGGCCGCTCAGAGCCCTTATGCACATTCACTCACTATCCACGTGGCCAGGACACCAGGGGAGGGAAGTCAGGGAATGTGTCCTGGACACACAGCAAGGGCCAGCAGGGCTGAGGAGCCTGTGCAGACCATGGAAGCTGGACAGGACGCCACAGCTTCCCAAGAGGTGTCCTGGGCCAGGGGGTGCCTGTCCCACTGCCCCTGGGCGTGTCCAAGGACTCTCCTGCCCGGCTTTGTCCGTGCTCCTGAGAGAAGGGTGCCCTGGGGGGGACTTGGCCTGGTCAGCACAGAGCAGGAGACGAGCACTCACGTTCCCCTGCGCTTTATTGTTTATGAAACAAATGGACAAAGGGAAGGAGACAATCATCATGCCGACAGCAGCGAACACGGGGACAGGGAAGGCTGGCTTCCAGGTCTCTGGAAGTCACTCAGTTGCACACCTGGCCTGTGGCTCAGGAGCCCCAACACATCAAGAGTGCCTCAAGCCAGCGACTGCCCGGCCTCTGGAGGTCTTGATTTTGTTTTAAAGAACAGCTCTGATGGCATCGACGCTCAGGGGGTGGCGGCTCAGAAGCCCACCAGGCAAAGGCAGGAGAGCGGGGTCGTGGCTGCGCCCGAGGAAGCCCGGCTTGGAGAACCATCATGTTCAGTCGAGTGTCTTTGCTCTGCTGCTTCTCCTACAGCAGGAGGACCAAGCTGTGCAGGACGTCTCACCAGAGCCCGGCAGGGGACTGTCCCAGTTCCAAGGAGAAGAGGTCTGCAAGGGTCAGCACAGGGCCAGGTGCAGCCAAGAGTCCCTCCCACCACTGCCGAGCTTCTGTCGCAGGGTGAGGCAGCCAGACAGGGATGCCATGATGAATGGACTCATCCCTTCTTGGCTTAGTCCTGCCTCACCTCTGTCCCCAACCACCCCCACCTCCCCAGCACTGGGAAGAGACAACAGGGACCAACAAGGAGCCAAGTCTGTGCGAAGCTTCCACAGAGAGGAGGCTGCAAAACTCCCACAGGAAGGAGAAAGGCCATGGAGAGAAACCCAGGAGGTGGCAGGACAACCTCCAGAACAAAGCCGCCCTGGTCAAGGGTCAGGGAACAAGACATTCAAGTCATCCGTGAGAGTCCTGAAGGGCAAGGCGCCTTCTGAAAGCTGCCAGGGAATGGCCGCGAGCCAAGCACTCAGACACCACTGTAAACTGGCTTTGCTACCTGTGGCTGCTTAGTGACAACTTCCTGCCGCTGGTGGCAAATTTATTCACTGTGACTGCTCTGTGGGGTGAGATTTGGTGATTCCATTTGATGAGAGAGGAAACTACTTTAGTAAAAATAAGTTAATAATTAAAACCTCACAGTGCTACACAGCCCTAGAACATTCCCAAAGGGCGGAAGCAGGGTCCTTGGCTGTGGGGTGGCTGGGAGCAACCTTGCAGGGTGCCAGTCAGCAGTGGGCAGGTGTCCCCAGAGGCCACCATGCTCCATGCATCCTGCAGTGTAAACATTTACTTTCCAAGGGTCTGGGGGCGCATGGAATGGATGCCCGGGTTTGAGAGGAGGATGGGGGTAGCTGGGAGCTCCTCACGGCAGGCCTGCCTCCACTCCCTGTGGATTCTAAGACAGGGCACCTGCTTCAGTGCCCTCGGTGCTCCTGAAGCACTGACTACACAGAGAGCACAGGGAAAGGCAAGCCGGGAGGCCAGGTGGGCCAGAGGGGGCAGAACCTGGCGGGCAGTCGGTGGCCCAGATCAAGATGCCTGCAGCAGTCGCCTCTGCAGCCGCCCGGCAGCACAGAGCTGGGAGCTGGCCAGGGCTGGGGGGCCTCCCTGCCACTCACAACTTCAGGCTGCTCCATGCCAGGAACTGAACTCCCTGCTCTGGGGACGAAACCAGACACACACTTCATGGTTACAAAGAGAAGACAACAGAAGTGAGTCCCCTGGGCTTTACAGAACCAGAGGCCCGGCTCAGCCTTGCTGGCGTTGGGAGCATTTTAATCTATATGAACTCTATTCCTTCATACTTCACACTTCCTATCTTGGTTTCTGGGAGGAGGACGCGCCCATCAAGCGTGAAGGCCATGATGTAGGTGGCGACGATGCCAGTATCCTCTTCAGACTTGAGGGCCACGATTATCTGGTCGTCAGTGTTGGGGATGAACTTGAAGGATGAGAAGCCGTGTGTGGGGATCAGCTCTCCAACACGGCGGACGGAGATGTCCCCGAAGTCCTGGGCCGCGCTCAGGAGGAGGTTGGTGCCCTTGTGCTCATCTTCCTTCTCACTGTAGCGCTCGTGGCTGGCCCTGCGAGGCAGGAAGAACCAGCGCTGCAGGGTGTCGCTCCAGCAGGCAGATTCGTGAATGAGGTAGCCTTAGGACACAGGACAAACAGGTCACCAAGCACATTCGGCAGGATGCCCCTGCCCATCCTCCCCCTCCCATCAGGTGTGCTGGCCCTCGCTGCAGTGGCAGGGAGCAGGGACTCAGGACGTGTGGGCAGCAGGAACCAAGGGCCTTCACCGACCTTCCTGTGGCTGGTGACAGCACAGGCAGGCACAGCAGACAGCAAATGCCGCTCTAAGCCTTTGGTAGCCTGGCTCTTGCTGCTGACCCAGGTGCCCATGAGCCAGGCATTCTGTCTCTATTTTTGTTCCCTTGGTGCTAATGAAGGGGCACAGAAAGGAGAAAGGGCCCAGGGAGGGGACAAAATAAACAGGCAAGTCTGACCTGTGGGCAGAGCCACCAGAGGGGAGGCAGCCTGAGGCAGAGGAGGCCTGCCCCTCCCTTCCAGGACAGGAGCACCCACAGGAGGAGCTAGGCTCAGCCACTTCCTCCTGCACCTGGAGCTGCCCCAGCCTCCAGAGAAGACACACCCCTGGACAAGGGTGGAGGAAGGCGGCCAGAACTGGCCACCTCCTCCTGCTGTCGCTGGGAGGGACCGTGGCCCCAACCTCTGGAACAGAGACAGCCCACACTGGGGCTGCTCCTGTGTGGACCACGGGGTGCGGTGGAGGTACTGTCCGGACCAGGCAGGGACAAAGAGAAAATGGCTCCTGAGTCCTGGAATCCGTGGCCGGAGGGCAGCAACCACAGAGAGAGAACCCTGAGCACGAGGGGACTGTCACTGTGCCTGGGCCAGAGCCGGCCTCGTGGGCCTCTTACCTGGGGGTCGGATCCCAGCGGCGGCCCTCAGGGCATTGTAGCTGGACACCCAGTTCTCGTGGTGCACGCTGCCCCTGTGGCCCACCACCTTCACCCACTCGGGGTTCTCATTCATCACCTCCCCGGTGGTGGTGGTCCACTCCTTGCCCAAGCCGCCCACGTACAGGTGCTCGTCCTTCACAGCCAGCCACTCGGCTTTGAAGCCTGAGGAGAGAAGAGGAAAGAGGAGGAGAGTGCCTGCGGCTCGCCCCACCCCTCACCCCACGCCGGACCTGCAGGAGCTGCCGCCAGTCAGGCCATGAGCCTTGGCAGCGCAGCAGCTTTGGACATCAGAAGTCACGGCATTTCACTGGGCAGGGGCAGGAGCCAGGGGCAGGAGTCTATGCAGAGCCCCACACCCAGGCGTCCCAGAGACGGCAGTACCTCCCTCCCCCTTTCTGCCCTCTGAGGAAGACCCCACTTCCTTTGGCAACCCTAGCAGGAAGTCTCTGTGAGTGGCTTGAGTCCCCGGCACTGCAGCTCCACCCTCCCCTCCCCTCCGCCCCCAACCCCTCAAGCTGCCCCCCACCCCCAAGACCACTCTCAGATGCTGGAGCAGAGCAGGCCTGACAGCCCTGTGGTCTGCGGCGGGACTGCCCAGGAGGCCTGGTGTTCAGATGCGGCTTCATTCTGATGTATCTATTCAGGAACCACCTCTGTTTTTTTCTTAGCGGACTTATTTACTACAAGCCAACCTTTGAAGGCTGCAGCACAGTTCAGGCTGGGGGCCTTTGTTCTTCTAGCACATTCTGACCTGTTCTAACCCCTGGATGTTAACTTGTGGTTGTTTCCCTAAATATCCTGCAAGCTTCTCAGCTCCCAGGAGCTGGAGCTCCAGCCCCTCCCTGCACTGGGGACAGCAGCTCCCGGGAGACTTCTCTGCAGGTGGCTCTGGGGTCCTGCTGAATTCTGGCAACCCCAGTGCCCTGTCAGCCGCCTGAGCCACATCTGTGATAAGATGCTCCGTTCACTGGGTCTTCAGTCCCTTCTGGACCCCTGAGCACAGGCCAGTCCCAGAGGCCCTGTGGCCCTGCTTTCTTCCTGGTCCAAGAGGAAGAAGGAAACCACACAATGATAGCCTAAAGCCCTGATGACATGAAGCAGGAAGCTGGGCAACCAACATCGTCTGATTCCCACTTGGAGATGTGTCCCTCCAACACCCAGCCGGGGGCAATGCTGGATTTCATCCCCGGGAGACGGCCTGAGGCTGCCAGGGGAGCCCAGTTAGAGCAATTCCTTCTTTGACCTGAAAGAGCCTCCAGGTGCATTTAGCTTTCTAAAAGGGGCAGGTCCCCAAAGAGCTCAAACGGGATGATGCGCCAACCTGGCCAATGCCCTGGGCTCTCTCTCCATGTGATAGCTCTGCAGCTCCTCCCTGCCCTGCAGAAGCAGTAACTCCTTCCTGGCAAACCCAAGCTCAGGGCTGGGTGCTAGTGGTGGGCAGGAATGGTGGCTCCTTACCACCGCCCTGCCGGCTTGCTTCCGGGCAGAGCACGATGGTTCAGGAGACCTTTTCTGTAGGCTCAGGGCGGCAGCAGTGGCTTCCTAGGTCCAGAAGCTGAGATCAAAGTCTCGCTCAAACAGAACCACGGGCCACCATGGTTTCAAGGTAAGGTACTGGGGGATGGACCCAGCCCAATCCTAAGATGTCTATGAAGATACACAAAGGGACATGGTTCTGAAGGAGTAAAAGCAGAAGTGACATGGTCCTAAAACTCATTCTGGAAGAAATGTCCCACTCTCTGGTGGGCTCTAGTGATAAGCTTTGACTTTTAGAAACAGCTGGGTGTAATGGGTGGCTCCTGTTCATGGTGGGGGTGCAGGGCTGAGTAGGTGAGAGCTCGCACTTCTGGCTGTATGAAGTCTTCACCAGGCACCAGGGTTACTTCTCAACTGCAAACCCAACTACAGCCAGCTGGCCTGGGGTCCCCCAGCACAGGCCCTGATGAGAACTTGCCAGAAGCAGCTCCCTTTAGGGGCTGGGACCTGGCTCGGGTAGAACATCTGCCTGGCATGCACACGGCCCTGGGTCAGCTTCCCCAGCACATCAAAAACAGGTGAAAACAGGAAGTGGCTCCATTTACCTTTCTCCACGGTCCCATCGCCATCAGACAGAATCACCCAGGGCACAGCCTTCGTGCCTTCGATCTGGTAGATGACCCCTGTGCGGTCATCCACAGAGTAGAGTTTCCCATTAAAGACGACCAGATCAGAGAGCTCCATGCCCCTTCCCTTTTCTGCCAGGTGGGACTCTAGGATCCCATGGTCTTTGTCCCACTCAATGGTCACTTTATCCCCACTGTCTGACAGGGTCAGATAGCCCTTCTTCAGGTAACTGAACCAGGTGTTTTCCTCCTGAGCCTTAGACTCTGTGTCCAGGTCAGCAATGACTGCAATTCGGTACCGAAGTCCACCTGGTGTTCTCTGGGGGGCCGAGAGGGGGTAGGTGTCATTGTAGTGGGCAGCAGGCATCTGGCCAAGTCTCCAGTTGTGTGCATTGTGAGCAAGAGTCCTGCCCGGGGCTGGGCGGTGGGAGTACAGCAGCCAGAAGAGTGCTGCGCCCACGAAAGATGTCAGGATCACCCTCCAGCGGGGACGGAAGCGGGGGTCTGCGGCCTTGGTCATGGACGCCAGCACAGGAAGTCCCCCCACACTTATCCGGAGGGAGTGCATAGGCTCATTCCATTCCAGGTGGTCAGAGGGCTTGATGGGCATCAGACTGAGCACTGGGCAGAACCTGCACCCCAAGGAGAGAGGAGAGTGGTCAGCAAGCAGGAAGCACATGGTCTCAGCAGAGTGTCCAGGCTGCAGTCAGGCTTATCCAGAAGAAACGGGCTTTCATGGCTTTGTCAAAGCCTGACCCCAGCAATCTTTATTTATTCTTATTCAGCAAGACAACATCTTTTTAGAAGAAAAATTATCCCCTGTCCCTGCCCCAGCTGGCAAGACATAAAGATGAGCAAGAATGAGGGGTTTGGGGTGGGCTGGTGTCTTACAGACTCTCTAAAGGGGAACAAGCAGGGGAGTCAAGTGGGGAAGGGAGCAGGGCAACAGAAGGGGCACAGACCCAAATGTCACCTCCTATAAGCCCTCCCTATGTTGCACAGCGGGACTGTTAATTTCTGCCTCCACCTCAGCACCCCCAGCTCCCAGTCAGTGCCCAGCACAGACCGGATAGGGGCTTAGTAGGTGATTGAGGCTTTACTTCCTGGGCCAAGCCCATGAAATGAAAAATAAAGCAGATGGGAGCCAGGCAGAAGACCTCCACCTACTTGATGTGCGGCTGGAAGCGACTCCTCCCTGGCGCCTTCTACTAACTTCCACGACTGCAGGGACAGAGTCCGAGCCACTCCTGCTGCTGGGCGCCCAGCCTGTGTGTACACAGGCTCCAAAGGACTGCTGGGCTCACCCAAGGCCTTGGCCAAGCCCTGGGCCCCTCCTGGGCCACACCTCAGGCAAGTTCAGGGTTGGGCGCTGGTGGTGGTGGGCAGGAGTGGCGGCTCTTTTCCACACCCTCCTTGCTTGCTTCCAGGCAGAGCAACGGTTCAGTGGGACCACAGAGGTGCCAGGCCAGCATCAGCATTGCCCTCTGTCTCCAGGACAGTTGCCCAGTGCCATCGAGAAGCTGCTCCTGGCTCTGCTGGGGACACAGCTGGCCACTGCTCCTGGCCCTTCCACCTTCAACTTAAAGCACTTCAGTACCTCCCTTCTGGATCAATGGAGCATGTCTGCCACCTCAAGAAAACAGGGAACAAAACACATGTGACTTCATGGGCAGCTGCTGCTCTCACCGCCAGGCAGCATCTGGGAACGGTCTGGGCACCCAAGCAGCTGTGTGTGAACCTTGGGCCCTCGTGCACCTGACCACGAGGCACCCACATCCAGGCCGCAGGCCGTTTACAGGGCAATGCCCTACATGGAAGCCTGCCTCTCATGCCCTCTCCTTGGACAGTCGGGTTTTAGCCTGCAGGGTCAGGTTCAAGGGTGAAGTATGTGCATGAGGTCTGCTATTCTGAGCAAGAGTGAGAGAAGATTCCAGGCCCCTAAGGGCTATGGCAACCACCTCACAGGGTGGGTCTCTTGGGCAAGGGCTGCTTCTTGGCAATGGCCACAGGTGGCCACTGAGGCCTTCCTGCCTGGAGGACTTCTCCCTGATGGGTTCTGTTTCTCCCTGTCCCTTTTTCAACCCTTGGGCTTCAACCCTAGGCTCTGGCAAGGCCCAAGAGTCCCAGTGGTTTATCCTTCGCCTGGATGTGACCACTGAGCTCTGAATTCCTCCATCTCACCTCCTACGCAAAATGCTGCCTGCATTTCCAACATGCATTTTAAACATGATGTTTCAAAACATAAGTCCTAGGCCCCCTCCCCTCAAGCCCCTCACCCCATCTTCCCACGAATAGCATGGTGAGGAGGCTGCCATATGCACAGCTGCCAAGCAGAGACTCTCACCGGAACCTAGGAGGTGCACCTTTCTGAGTGGGTGTTACACTTCCACAAAAAGATACCAACCACCACAGAAATCCTGAGTGACCTATCCCTCCCTTTTCATTCCCAAAGTCCACTGGCAGAGCTAACCATTCAAAACTGGCCTCCTATTCCTGGCTCCGTCCATTTCTAGGCTCAGCCCTCACTAAACCACGCCAGCAGCCTCCCTCAGTCCCTCTGCAGCCACTGTCCTCCCTGGCAACCCATTGCCACCCAGCAGCCTGCACCACAGCCTATGGGACCTTCAGGCTCCTCGTTCCAGGAACACAGTCCTGCAGCCTCCCGTGCAGCCCTCCCCACTCTCCACCACCTCCCCTGCTTGCCAGCCCCAGCCATGCTGGTCTCCTTTGGTCCTGGCTACCACAGCCCTCATCCCCAGGGCACAGCTTCTGTTCCCTTGCCTGGGACACTGTGGTCCTGCTCTTTGCATGGCTAGTTCACTTCCATCTTCAGGATTTTCTGAATGTCCACTCCTTGGAAAGACCGTGTCCCTCCTGCCCTCCACCATCTGTAGCCTTATGCAACTGTTCTTGCTCTGCTGTCCCTCACACTCGGCTTACCACTGGGCAGCTGGTAGAAACTTGGTACACATTTGCCAGAGGAATGAAAAATAAATGTCGTAGTTGGCCATTATTCAACTGCCCCTCAATACCCTGTCTCCTCTGTGCCCCCAACCTAGTTATCCTGCAAACTCACAGCTTGAGATCAAGTCCCTGACATGTGACCCGTTTAGCTGCATATCTGAGCTGCAGGTCCAGGGAAGATGGCACCTGCTGTCACACACTGGAGCCCCTGCAGGTATTGCTGCTCAGCTCTCTTGACATCCCTATGTCACCAACCACATCTCCACCATTCTTGTCAAAATCCCAGCCCACTGCTCCCAGCAGCCCCTCTTGCAGCAGCTGAGGCCTGGGTGTGGCCACACCCCTACACTTTGTGTCAGGGAAAGGGTTTCCCTCTGCCACTCAGCTCGGGGTCCCCAGCAGGTTGGCTGCTGCTGCCTCCTCTGGCTCACCTCACTCACTCTTCAGACTATTCATGGGACACGGCAAGTACTGAACTTTGGTTTGTGGATGGCAGATCTGTGAACCTAAAGGGGGACAAGTCCTTCCTGAGCCCCTGGCACCCACACTCCCTGGTCCCCCTCTCCTTGAGCCGCTGCACAGCCTGGATCTGAACTTCCTGCATGTTCTCTGTGCCTCTCAGTGCTCTGTCCCTCCTAAAACCAGGGGGCCTCTCTGCTGGCCCCTAGGGCTGGCTTCCCTCTCTGCCAGTGTACAAGCTCAGTCACTACCTCATCCTCGAGTTCTCCCATGGCTTGACCTCTGCAAGGAAGGCCCTGCGCCTCTGTGGCTACACCCCCCTGAACTGCAGGCCAGTTGAGCAGCCACATTCCAGGCCCCTGGGCACTAAACACATTCCTCCGCAGGAATTTACTCTCCTGGCTAAGGATGGGCCCAACCTCGGGAGTCACCTGGAGCCCTAACAGCTTTCTGGTTTCCATACACCCAGGCAGGCACCAGGCCACTTGCACTGCCCGTCCCCACATCCTGCCTAGTCCTCTCACCCTGATAACGTCCAAGGGCTCCTAATGACCTAGAACTTGCAGGTCAAAACTTGCCATTTCTAGTTTTCAGACCTCAGACAAGGGACTTCCCTTTCTCAGCCTCAGTTTCCTCCCTGGTGCCACACTGAAGGGAGAGGGCTGCCCCAGCCTGACTGCCATCTTTCCTCTGAAAAGCACTGTTTACCTACTTCAGCCTGTAGAGAAGGCCGGGGTCTTCAGGCCCAGCCTCCCTGAGCGCTCCACCGGCACGACCCGGGGTCACTCACAATTCTAGACTCCCTCCAGGTGTCTAGACCCTACTCAAGGTGTTTCCTCCACCGGGGATGCTGGTCTTCTCTGCCCACAAGGAACCACCACAACTCCCCGGAAGTGCCAGGACAGCCCTGCTCCCTGCTCTCCTGCCTTGTGTCTCAGGTGAGTACTCCTTCACATGCCCCACCCCAGCAAGCCTCCCTCCTGGAGGAAGCTGATCCTGGCCCCAAGATACCCAAGAACTGGGGCTGGGGTTGTGGCTCAGTGGTAGAGCACTTGCCTAGCATGTGTGAGGCACTGGGTTCGATCCTCAGCACCACATAAAATTAAATAAACAATTGCCAATATTAAAAAAAAATAAGAAGAACCTAGGAGAGTGACCTTGAATGGCAATGTAAACTTTGGAGATGTGGTTAAGGATTCTGAGTTGGGAAGGTGGTCCGTAGGCCCTAAATGCAAGCACAGTGTCTTTTTATAAAGGGGAGGCAGGAGATGGATGGAGACAGAAGAGAGGGCCAAGTGACCTCAGAGGAAGAGGTAGGGTGACATGGCCACAATCCAAAGAACACCTGGGGCCCCTAAAACTGGAAGGACAAGGAATGGGTCCTCCTCTAGAGCCTTCGGAGGGACTGCAGCCCTGGGGACACCCCAATTTTGACCTAGTGGATTGATACTGGTTTCAAGTTCTCTGGCTATTCAATCTCCATAACCTTGAGAGAAAAAGCGTGTGCTTCCTTACGCCACCAAGTGTGTCACCTGCTAGGGCACCACACAGCCCAGCCTGGCCAGGTGAGCTCCTGGAGGGAGGCTCTGCCTCAGCACAGGACCTCGGTGGCCACAAGACGGGAGGTCTGGCCTTCCAGAGTAACCTTCCTTCCCTCCTTTAGCACTGGGAGTTGTTGTGTTTTGCAGAAGTCTCCCTTGCCTTTGTTCTCCATGGCCCCACACCGGGTTCTGCCCGAGGCTGACTCTGGGCACCTTGGCTGCCCAGGCCATCAAGCCAGGGCTTCCAGGGCTTCTGGAAGCTTCACTTAAAAGACACACAGCCACCAGCAACAGAAGCCAGGGCAGATGAAAGACAAATGGACAGGGGCTGGTCCTAGAAGAAAGGAGCTGAGCCTGTCCCCCTCACACCCTTGCACCCTCAAAGATGAAAGAAGCTTGTTACCCCCACCTGCAGCATGAAGTTTTCATAAGGAAAAAAAGAACCAAGGCTGCAGTGAAAAGACCAGGTTCCTGGGCAGCCAAGCACCTGGCAGGGGGCCTGCAAACAAGTGTCGCCCAGGCTCAGAAGCCTTCCAGGACCGCACCCTGCTAGCCGGCTTCTTCCCATGTTGTTGGTGCTCCCTGGAAAGAGCAACCAGAGCACCAGCTACCTTAGAGGCTCTGGCTCCCGATTCCTCTACCCCTTTTCTAGGCAGGCACTGAGAAAGGCTCACCGACCTTCAGGCATTTCGGATTCCTTTACCAAAAAGCCAGAAACAGCAAGGCTCAGCAGTGGCAGACACAGATGTCTGTCCACTCCAAAGGATGTTTTTAGGTAGCATGGGAGCAGCAAGGAAACAGGGTGTTTTTCTCTATGCACACCCAGGAGGCCACCCAGGCTGTGTCCCTATCCTGGGAGTGAGTAGCTCCTCCACTGTTAGGAAGAGCAGTGACTCAGAAGACACCTACCTCCATGGAAACCCCAGGCCTGCACCCACTCTCCACCGCGAGCAGAGGGATCAGGGGTGCCTATACAGCAGACAGCCGGCCAGTCTACAGGTCTCTCCTACTTCCTTAAGAAGTGCAATAAGGCAGGTGGCAGAGCTAACAGGTTTAAGGCACTGTCAGAGCAGACTCCTCCCTTTCAGGATCCAGGCAGGGCGGGACAGCTCTCGGTGCTGAGTCTCCCAGTCCCTCACTCCTGCACCGGAGAGAATGCGCGAAGGCAAGTCTCACAGAAAGGGACGCTTGCTTACCCGCGCTACTACTGCCCTTGAGCCCATTTCAAGTCTGGACAGGTGGGCAGCACAGGGAAGAAAGAAAGCAATGCCTGCGCCAGGGACTGCTGAGGCTACCTGCCCCCCAAGGCCCCCAGCTCAGGATCCTCGAACTCAACACCTCCACCCACCCACGCAGGGTCCTGCAAGGAAAGGCACTCGCAGCTGCTCTTGGCACCAACTTGTCACTTCAAAATGACTTGTTTTGGGGACTGGGGATGTGCCTCAAGTGGTAACGTGTACACCTGGCATGCGCGGGGCATTGGGTTTGATCCTCAACACCACAAAAAAAGAAAATAAAATAAAGATGTTGTGTCCACCAAAACCTGAAAAATAAATATCAAAAAATTCTCTCTCTCTTAAAAAAAAATGACTTGTTTTCAGCCTTGGTTTTTGTTTTTAGTACTGGGGATTGAACACAAGGGCACCGAACCACTGAGTCACATCCCCAGCCCTTTTCATAT